TTGTTTTGTTTTATTTTGTTTTTCAGTGGATACACAATGCTAAGCACCAGACAGCTAGCTAAAAGGTCAGTGGTTTGAACTCACAGCCTCTCAGCTTCTCTGAAAGTATAGCCTTGGAAACATTACAGGGAAATTCTACCCCGTCTTATAGGATTCTCAGGAGCTGGAAACAACTGGTGGGCAATGGGTACGGTGGGTGTGTACACACTACTGAAGGCCTCTTGAGTAATGTGTGATAATGACTTGCAGAGATAGATTCTAGTCTGTCTTTAACTAGCTATGCAGCCTTGTGAAAGCAATGAACTTCCCTAAACTTCCATCTCCCCACCTACAGGACAAAAACAACCACAAACGAAAAACAGAACCAAATTGTCAAATCAGTTCTGACTCATGCCGACCTCGTGCGTGCCAGAGCAGAACGGGCTCCATCAGGCTCGCGCGGGGCTGGTTGTGCAGACCGTAGACTGGCAGCACGGGTTGACTCAAGCCTTCAACCTTTCGGTTAGCAGCTGACTGCATCACCGAGGGAGTCCATCGACAAAACGGAGAAGGAAATAACACTTTTACCTTAGCGTAAGTGTGAGGATTAAAAAGCATCGTGCCAGCGCTCCTGCTCGGCCCTGGGCCTGCTCCTCCCCAGGCAGACGAGCTTGCAGGACCACAGGCCTGGTGGAAGCCCATACTGCAAGTCTGACAGGTGGCTGGCACCTCACCAAGACACCCTGGGACCCAGGAGTTCAGTAACCCCAGGCAGCTTCGTGTAGCAGTCATCCACGCAGCCACGGGCCTTTCAGCAGAGACCTTTCTGAGTTTCTCCCAAGGGCGCAGCCTGTACCGCCCAACGCCAAGTGAGACAGGAACCTCGCCCCGCTGTTGGGCGTCCTGAGCAGGCCCTGGGTGGACCAGCGGCATGTTCGCACCTGCTCCCTCGCTGCCAAGGAAGCAGCAGATCCAGTCTAGTCAGCAGTCCCTCAGGATGGGGCCTGGGGCCTCTCCCCTCGTTGGGGCTGTGGAGCACAGACCGGCAGTGTCAGCTTGCCCTGTTCACAGCCACTGTCGTTCTGGATTGTTTCTGGGGGGTTAGGCTCCCCAACCCCACCCATCTTCTCCTTCTTCCTTCCCTCTGTCATCTTCTCATCCTCCCTTCTGATAATTAACTCGTACCGAGTGCGGGCAGCCACAGCACGGTGGCCAGGTTCAAAGGCAGAGGCTGGTTCCAGCTTGCATATGCGGACTCCGGGATCCCTACCTACTGCGTGACTCCGCACGCGCGTCCCAAGTAAACACCTGCCCCGTGCATCCCTTGTGCCTCAGCCTTCCAGCAAGGCTAAGCGGTCAGGGGCTTCCTCTTCTCTCCAGGGAAGGAAGGGTCCTTTGAGGAGGAAGCTTGTGTTCTGTAAAAATGTTAGGCTTATTTCCAAGCCTCAGTCACCAGTGCACCCCTACTGTTTGCTTTGGTGATGTGACGTCACGTCCGCGCCCTGGCCCCACCCATGCTCCTGAGGGTGAGGGAGGCTTGGGACCGCTCACCTAGGCCTGGAAGGGGTCAGGGTGGCGAGGGAAGAGGGCCAGTTGGTGCTGGAATGAAGGATTCTGGGTAAAGCTTAGAGGCCTTGCTGGCGCCTACAGCAGCAGAATGATCGAGTTCAAATAAGCCGCCTTTGGTGAATGAGGATTTTTGCCTGGACACTCCGTGTTGGCACTGAGAGCCCACCTCCTGCTCCCTGCCACACCGAGGGTGAGTTAGTTAATTGTGCCAACCTGGCCGATAATCACATGTGGGGCTAATTGAAAGGCCGAGGGATAAATGGGTGGTGAGCCTCACCTTTCTAGCTCTCGGTCTCTTGCTTTGTGATGGTCGCACCAGGGTGCAGCTGCCTTAGCAGTTCCCTGCTTCAGCTTGCAAGATTGACTTCCTACAAGACATCCCCAAGGAGAAGCCACATGGACCTATCCCGATGCAGCCCTGGGTGCTGGAGCAGCCGTGTGGAGACCCCTGCTAGTGCTGAGATGCTTATTCGTTCACTGACTCAGCTTTCCTCCTGCAGTAGGCATCATTGCCTCTGTTTTGTGAGGTGGAGGACTTTGTGGACTGGTGTTGGGTTAATGTTGGACTTGTGGGCTTGGGCAGCATTGGGTTGGGATGTTTTCGTGATGCACCCTTTCTTTACATAAAACTCTCTTATACATGAATTGCTGTGGATTTGTTTCTCTAAAGAACCTAGACTAATACAGAGGGTCAGACTCATCCTCTCTCACATGTCGCAATGCAGGGACAGCGGTCATGTGTCGTTTGTTCTTGTGCTCCTCCTAATCAAGAGGTGCATTCAAATTCCAGTTTGTGGCTTTGTTTTTCAGCATAATGCGGGTGGAGTTCTAAGCACAGTGCCTGATACACGCTAAGACTCTGTCCGTGTGCTTTGAGATCAAAGGGCGAGTTCCCGCAGGGATCCAGTCGGAGGGGGAATGGCAAGCAAGTACTTACAATGATCGTCATGGCTCCAGTGTGAGACACAGAGGAGCAGGGTGGCTACTGCAACCCCTACTAAAGCCTTTCTAACCTTTGAACTTTCGGTGCGTAGGTCTTGACACTAATTGCAAGTACTCATATCCTGTGGTATCAGTTTAGAACAAACAGTACTTTATGAATTGCATCTAATGCAACCTCTTATAACATATGAAAAGAGAATAAACTTGTAATATTTTCTTGACTCCTTTACTACTTAGGTGGTTCTCGCACCTGAGGCCTTATGAGTAATTTTATTATTATCTTTTGGTAGATATTTCCTGTCTACCCAACTACATCATAAACCCCTTGAACGAGGATGTCATTAATTAGATATTGTCCTTCGCTCTTTAAGCGTTCCATAAAAGTTGTTTTTAACAATACCTTATGGTATTATGCGTATAAAAATCTGTTAACATTTTATGTTAGCAGAGATTAATTTGAGGGAGTTCAGTAGAGAGGGGTGCTTGTTCCTCCCTCTGGTCTGGTAACTCAATACCTCTCTGAGTTTCCATGTCATCTGTAAAATTGGGATAAAAACACAAACTCAAGTCAAGAAACATAGAGTTGCAGGGCTTCAATGAAGCAGAGCTTAAATGAAGTAAAGTCGAAAAATGCTATAAACTCAAAAGCAACGTGAACATTTGCTTATAGTTTTAATTCAGGGAAGAGTCTTTCGCAACCTGCAATATACAGAGTTCTACCCTGTGCTATAATGTAGTTGGATAGAAAATATCTATTAAAAAATAGCAATAAAATTACCCATTAAGACCTCAAGTGTGAGAACCACCAAAGCAGTAAAGGAATCAAGAAAATCTGCAAGTTTATTCTGAGTTCAGATGTTATAAAAAAGTTGCATTAGATAAGCCTCCAGTAATTTCCCTCTGAGTTGTTACATAATTCCATGTCAACTTGAAGAGTGGTATTCAACCTGTCAATCAAGTCACAGCCTGATGGTACCTCCTTATGGGTGTGGCCTTCTCATAAGGAGGGTCCTGGGAAACCCCCCTCTCTCTGCTTTTACCTTCCTGTTGATGAGCCCTGCCAGAGCACTGTGGTGCTTCCACCACCATTGGATCCACAAGACTTTTCACCGACCGGCCTGTGATCTTCCTGCATTTTGCATCATTGCATGTGGCTGGGTGAGTCCGAAGAAGTTCTTATGGACTAGTATTGGACTTAAGGACTTGAGTTGGACTAGGCTGGAATGTTTTCCTGATATACAATTATTTCCTGATCTAAAGAGCTTTCTTATACATATATGAGTGTCACTGGATTTTTTTCTCTAGTCAACTCAGCCTAACACACCCTCTATCCATAGTGGAATAGTGGGAAGAACTGGTTACCAAACAGAGTGCACTGGAGAGATGACTGTAGAAGATCAAAATGACAACCCTGACTTAAATGGTTAAACCCTTGCCAGGTGATCCCCCTCTGGTGCACATTAGGCCCGATCTGATTTGCAACATATTCTGTAGTTTTTTTGTTTTTTGTTTGTTCATATTGGGGCTTATCTCAGATTTATTTTGTCACTGAATTTTTGTTATGTTTTCCTGTTTTTCAGTATATGAAACCCAGGACTGATGAACCTAAAAGGGTAGAAAGTAGAATATGGGTTTCTTGGGGGATCAGTGGAGGAAGGGGGGCAGGTAAAATGAAATTGATGTTAAGGAGTTCAAGAAGGAAAAGACTGTTTGGTAACTGATTGTGGTAGCAATTGTGCAATACCACTTGATGTGATTCAACTATGGAATGATATGATATCTGTACTAATGCCCAATAAAATGGTATTTTTGAAAAAAGGTTGCATTAGATACAATTCATAAAGTACTGTTTATTCTAAAGTGACACCATCACAGGATAGCAGTACTTGCAATTAGTTTCAAGACCAAGCACTTCACTTGCTTGATGAACAGTGAAGAAGACAGCAAGGGCTTGCTGATGAAGATCAGACTACAGCCTTCAGTATGGACGACCCTTCCACGTCAAGAAGACAGAAATCCTCACAACTGGACCAATAAACAACATCATGATGAATAAGGGGGGAAAGACTGAAATGGTCTGAAATATCATTTTACTGGGAGCCATGGGCAACACCCATGGTAACATCAATCAAGAATTCAAATGATGTATTTATTGCATTGGGCTGGTCTGCTACCAAAGATCTCTTTAAAGTGCTGTTACTTTTTTAAAAGCCAAGATGCCACTTTGAGGGCTAAGGTTCACCTGACCCAGGCCATGCTATTTTCTATGGCCTCACAAACACGTGAAAGCCGAGCGATCAAGAAGGAAGACCAAAGAAGAATCGATCCATGGGTTAGGTTGTCGGTAAGGAATTGTGACTACGCCATAGATTGCCGGAACATGCCTCGTGTCATAGTGGTTACAAGTTCAGCTGCAATCCACAAGGTTGGCAGTTTGAAACCACCAGCTCCTCTGCAGGAGAAAGACAGGACTTCCGCTCCCATAAACAGTTACCACCTTGAAAACTTACCCTGTCCGATAGGGTCACTATGATTCGCATTGACTTGGTGGCAGAGCAGTTGAGGGGTTTTCTTTGGCCAGAAGCATGAACATCTCTGTCTTAGAAGAAGTACAGATGGAATCCTTAGAAGATGGCATGGGAGTGGGGAGGGAGCACTAGAACTGATTGTGATTATGTACCCACAACTCATTTTAAAAGCGATTTAACCCTGGAGGTATATGGTGTGTGAATACTATATCAAGAAAACCACTTAAAAAAACATATATGTTGATATCACGTGAAATATGTAACCAATGTTATTGAACAATATGTATAGAAATTGTTTAATGGGAACCTAATTTACTATGTAAACTCTCACCAAAACTCAATGAAATATATTTAGACAGGAAAAAAAGGGAGATGGCAAGGATTTCTAGACTTCATCTTATGCGCTTTAGATGGTATCAGGAAGGAACAATTCCCAGAAAAGGACCTCATGCTTACTAGAACACAGGGCGAGTGAAAAAGAAGAAGACTTCAACGAGACGGACTCACCGTGTTTGCAGCAATGGGTTCAAACAAAGCGCAGACTGTGAAGGTGACACAGGGCCAGGCAGTGTTTCCTTCTGCTGTTGCACTGGATCAATGCAAATAGGAACCAATTCAACCGCACCGAATAACATTTCATGAAGACACTGGCCCTTGTGCTCGGCTATCAGGAAAATAACATCTAGAGTCTTAAAGGCCTATCTTAAAGACAGCAGCCATCTAAGTGAGGTGTTAACTCAGTCCACACGGAAGAAGCACACTAGCCCGTGTGATCCAAGGACTATAAACAATAAAATTTCAATCTGGAGGAGGGAACGGTCTCAGAGCTTAAATTATGAACACTCGGATGACTATAGATGACAGTGGAAGCCCAAAATCCATTTGCAGGCTCCCCACGTGGATTACGGCTCCAGTGGTCTGATCATAGTCCGGGGGTGTGAACAGCCTTGCTACCAGAGGGCAGGTGTAGTGAGGTGAAAACGTAACACCTTGTCATTTGATCTCCCTTTTGACCCATTTTAAATGTGTTCCAGTTTTTAATATTTTCTGCTTTCTTTCTGATTGAAATTTTTCCCTGTTTTATTTTGTCATTTTTGCTGGGATTTTTTTTTTTAGAAGGAGGTTGTTTGTTTCTTGTTTTTATTTTGTATTTGCTTCTGTATATAAAATTCAGAATATGTAAATCAATAGAGACAGTAATTAGTCATTGCAAGAGAGCTTGTGGGAAAATAGGCCAACAGTAATAACTACAAGAAAGAAGAAAATACTCTAAAATTGATTATGGTGATAGTTTAAAACTCTTCTTAATATGACTGACTGACTGAATACTATGATATGTGAATTACATGCCAGTAAAACTATTTTTTTAAAGGCCATGGGCCTTAATTTGCAGTCATTCCACAATCATTCTTGTTAAATGTTCTATAATTCTTTAACACTTCTACCCTTAAGTCCAGACTAGCGTTTTATGCACCAAAGTGAATAAATTTATGTTCTTATGCCTGTCTAGAGACTCGTGTTTAGTAGCTCTCTATAAAGCTCATTATTGGACTATGGACTAGAAGAATAATTAAGCATCTCTAGACCAAAAATAACTATTCATTTAAAGTACAGTCCCCTGTAGGAACATTTTAATCATAATTGAGACACAGTATATGTGAAACAAAGGAACAGAAATCCTCTGTATTATATTTCCCTTCAGCCTGGTAAGAGTAGAAGGAACTAATTGTTTTCACCTGTTAAAAGATGGGGGCACTGGCCTTTAAGGTTGGCTTTATTAATACTAACCAAATGGATTTTTACTTTCACTATGTAGAAACAAATAGTTGAATGTCAATACTTGTTTGTTTGTTTGTTTGTTTTTAATCATTTAGATCCTTTGGACCTCACCATCGGGGAAGCAGATGTCTGTATATTTGTCTTAGGTTTTTGATTAAACATTGTGCCAATATCTCATAGTTTATAAGTTTGAGGTGGGCCCCTGACCTCATTTCTTCTACCTCTCAAATAAACTTCCCATCTTAAAACAAGCCTAGCAGGAAAAACGACTAATAGTTCACAGTACAGCATTTTTAAAAAAGTAAATGATATTTATATCTTGTGAGGTTTTCCAACAAGAAAATAATAATAGATGTTCAAGATAGGAAGTGAAAGTAATTGAATCTCCTTTAGAGATTCTGCACTTATTTATCCAGAAGGAAGGCAGTGGGCTCACAAAGCGTGGTGAAAACAAAACCCTGTAGATTCGTTTCTCTCTAACGAAGATCAGTAGCTACTTGTATTTAGAGCAGTGGTTCTCAACCTTCCTAAGGCGGTGACCCTTTGAGACAGTTCCTCGTGCTGTGGTGACCCCAACCATAAAATAATTTTTGTGGCTACTTCATAATTGTAATTTTGCTACTGTTATGAATTGGGCGACCCCTGTGAAAGGGTTGTTCAACCCCCAAAGGGGTCGCAACCCACAGGTTGAGAACTACTGATTCAGAGGGCAACCAAACTAATGATCAGCCCTTTCCAATATTCATTATACTTTAGCAGGAAATTATTAAGTCAGAAATGATTAGAAAGTCATTCCAAATTAGGAGCTTAGAAATCATTTTCCCAAATGAATTATTATCACTGACAATAGGGGCTGCACTAAACACGTGGCAAATCCCATCTTCATTGATAATTGTGTGGTAAGGAGAGCAGCATGACTCCCAAAGGGTACAAATGAATCCAGTCCTCACCTTCCCACTCTCCATCCTTGTCACCAAGCACCCAAGTGGCACACTTTCCCTAGGACCATAGCCACCCAGAGCTGGGTCCGAGCTCACTAGTTATAGGGATACTATCTTTTCCCATGCAGCATTTCTCAGACCTAACCCTCCCAGAGTTAGGTCAAAGCTCACACATTAGAAGGATAACTTCTTCCAGACTGCCAAACAGGCAGATGCCAGCCCCGTCTGGCTTTCACTGACCCTGGGGGTTCTTGATTTCAGAGAGTGCATTGGACTACTAATGCCTACAGCTTATTTAAACCAGAAAGGATACAGAGAAAGAGGAACATCGGCCAAGGCCTGGGAGGGATCGCAGCATAAAACTCCCACATCCCAAAGAGGAATGTGCTTTCCTCTCCAGTGCATGTCACAACCAGAAGCTCCTCCAGGCCTAGGAAGAAGGGCTCATCTTGAGGGTCAGGATGGATTACCTCATGCCTTGTAAGAATTAAGCAGCAGCATCCTCTGGTGTTGGTAAGGCTTGCGATGACTGAGAACAAGGACTTTCTGCACAGTGATTCCACATCATGCAATGTCCAGACAAGTGCTCGCCCATTTAACCCATACGGTTTCAAATTACCAAACCAAAACTTTTAGGATCTACGGATTACAAAGTGGATACTTCTTAAGTGAATGGACTTCCTACTGTTGCACCTGGAATAGGAGGAACAGACCTCACTAAGGCAGTCCCACCCAGAGGTTAGAGATCCCACCTTCCCACGTCTCCTGCCCTAAGCCACAGAGGTACATCAACAGCTACTTGCTTCCCCTCAGGCAATGGTCTCAACCTGTGGAACCCATGTAGTTACTGTAGAGGACTTTGAAAGACCCAAGTAAATAATATGCCACACAGGGAAGTGCTACTCATTTTCAATTTCAGATCGATGCCATCATAAATTTAGTTCTCTAACAAATGTTCATTTATTCTTAAAATTCTTATTAATGCTCTATCATGCATTTTCTCAGGTAGGGCGCCCCCAACGTTCAACTGCTATTATTGGGGAGGCTGGGAAATCTATGAACATTGACATTGAAATGGTGTCTTCATACTCCTCTTAGTTAATAGGACTGAAGAGGAAAGGAAGTCAGAGGTGCTGAACCTGACCGGTACCAGCACAGGTCACAGCAGAACTGGGGAGCCACAGCCAGGAATTAACACACGATTGTAACTGTCTCTATGGCCAAATTTCTTTTGTGAATACGCATGAATATAAGTCCGTTCTTTGCCAAGAAAGTAACATGGTAGAACCTTATACTTCTTAACTTTTCACAGCAGAAAGCAAAGAATTTTTTAAAAGTTGATATTGAAAGCAGTTGTACCCTGAAGGCTTTACCTATTCTCCTCCGCATATTATTGCTTGTTATACTTTAAAAACGATTTGCACAGAATGTCCAGTAGTAAAATCAATAAATCAAGACAAATTTAAAATGTGCTTTAAATGGTTTGAGGTTATGTTTAAGCCTAGTTATGTAAATCCCTGGTTTATACACACATACAATTTTTCTACCCAAAAATCTTTTTAGAAAAGGCTACTTCAAGTAAGTACATACTTGTACATCATATAGTAGTCTACGACTATGAATCCAGAATCTTTGGGAAAAATAAGAATTGCACTATTGCAAAATAAAAGCAAACTTTCAGGCATTAATTCTAACACATTTTAGTGCTGGCAATGTATCATATAAAATAGTTCCATATTTATAATAGATGCTTGATGAATGTCTATTCATTAAAAACAATGAGAAATTTGGGAAGGTTAGAGGCACAACCTAGCCAGAAGGCAAGGTGAGTTAAACAGACATTTCGAGTGGCTTTTCTCAGTCACCTCTTTATGTGTTCAGAATTTAGAGCTGAGCCTAGGCTTCACATACATTCTTCTATGGACACATTGCTACGTCCATGGTTTTCACTACTAGGATGTTTGATGATGGCCTCTAACTGCACCACCACCATCCTTCTCCATAAAGATGCATGCAATGTCTGACGTTACTTTCGCTTTTTCATATTTACCTTATTTGTAGAGACACAGAAAGGTGCCTTAAAAGTAAATCACTGTTAACATGCTTCCTGGCTCTACTGTATTATTGAAATATGACCCTCTCTCCCTCCACTTCCCCAGAATGTCTTGCACAGAGCGCATTAGGAATGCCCTACCTTCTCCTAAGCAAGTCTGTTTTATTTACAGCTCGTGAGATACAAAAGCCATCTGACTACCACTATATAACTAAACATACCCTCCACA